GATGCCATCGTGAATTTTACTGATTGGACACACCCTCCTGATCTCGACCCCGACTTCAGCCCGGGAGGTTTCTGGTACTCCCACACTATCCCAGAAGCAGAACGAACAAGAGCGTTAGCGACGATTCAACAAATATCGGCAGTAGCAACAACATCGGCAGGAGCAACAACATCGGCAGCAGCAACAACATCGGCAGCAGAGACAACATCAGCAGCAGCAGGAACAACGACACCGGTCACAGTCGACGAAGCACCACCAAAACCAGCGCAACAGCTGAATCCGACTCAACGTGAAGTCCACCGAAGCGCCAACTTCGTCGCCAGTTTTTACTCCAACTCCGACGCATACCAACGTTCACCCGGACACCGCGCCTCTGAAGAGATCTGGCACGCGCGCACAGGACATCCAAGCAACACGGTTTTAAATAACACGATAAGAGCAGGAGTTCTTGACAAAGACTCCCTACTTCTACCCGATGGCAGAGAACTCCAGAAGGTACGAGGGACTTGCCTTATATGTCCCGAAGCTGACTTACCTCATCGACCGTTCGCTCCACATCACAACCCGAGCGCTCCAGCGTACGCACCACTCGAAAAGGTCTACAGCGACATCCTCTACAATCGCGAACCAGGACAAGTTAACTACAACTACACCATCACCTTCATCGACGCCGCCACTCGATATGTCTGGCATCGTAACCTACCCAGCCGCGACATGGCACTCGCAGCATTCGCCGCCTGGCTACCGATAGCAGAGAGAGAGTCTGGAACGCAACTGAAAAGCTTCCTGTCAGACGGAGGTGGCGAGTACACCTCTCAGCGCTTCAAGCAGTTCCTGGCGGAAAGGGGGATCAAGCAACTCCTCTCCCTTCCCTACGCACATCAGCAGCAAGGTGTCGCAGAACGAATGAACAGGACTCTGCAGAACAGCATGCGCAAACTGTTACGTGGCATGCGGCTACCCAACCACCAGTGGCCAGCAGCAATGGACCATGCTGTCATGCTGCACAACTTGTTGTCGTCGTCGTCACTCCCGAACAACGCATCACCGCATCTGCTGTGGACAGGTAAGCAGGGCAGCACAAAAATGTTACGAGTCTTCGGGTGCATGGTACAGTACAGACCCCCAGAAGCACGAGCGGGAAGATTTTCACAACGGGCACAGTGGGGACTACACCTCGGCATCGAGAAAAATTACAACGCGTGGAGAATCTTCGACGTCCACACAAAAGAAACAGTAGCAGCACGAGATGTGATCTTCTAAGAACGCCTCACCCTTCAGACGTACCTCGCCAACTTGCACGAGAATCGGGACCTCACCAGTGGCTTTCGTGGTGACCGAGCCTTCGCGTCAGCAGCGGATGAAGCAGACTGGGATGAGTAGAACGTCGACAACGCATCGGAGGAAGTCGGACCTCTTCCGTACTGCTCCGTCAACGTGCCCATGGATGAGGATAACCCTCGCGACAGTAACAACGCCGAAATCTTCTACCATCTCGCCGACAATGGTTACGTAACACCTGCGACAGTCAACACCAACGAAGCAGAAAGGGTAGGGCCTAATTTCATACCCGACCCAGAAGCGGGAGACGAAGCAGCTTATCCCGAGGATCCAGAACTCCCTCGATACTCACAGACTGGGCTGCAAATCCTTGGTCTCGTCACCGCAGTCCATGGCGCCACCATTCCTAAGGAGCCTGCGACGGTTCAACAGGCTCTGGGGGGGGAACACAGGGAGAAATGGCGTGAAGCCATGGACAAAGAACTGAAGGCACTGGAGGAGCGCAACACCTGGAAAATCGTTCCCATCGGCGTAGCACAAAACAAGACTATCCTTACCGGGAAGTGGGTCTTCCGTGTGAAGACGAAAGCTGATGGCACCATCGACAAATTCAAAGCTCGCTGGGTCGTGCGCGGCTTTGACCAGGAGCACGAAAGAGATTACACCGAAACCTTCGCTTCGGTCAGCCGTCACACCTCACTCCGAATCCTCATCGCCGTCGCCGCCATGAAGAAAAAGAAATTGCGACAAATCGACGTCGCAAACGCATTTCTCTACGCACCTGTAGATGCAGAAATCTTCGTCGAGCTCCCGCACGGCTCCCACGGCGAACCCAACCGAGTCTGTCAACTGCTTAAATCGCTCTACGGGATCAAGCAGGCACCGCGACTGTGGCAGCAGTACCTACACGCCCGCCTCATCCGCATCGGTTTCAAACAACTCCCGCATGACCAAGGCATGTATCGCCTCACAAAGGGAAGCGACTACGTTCTCCTAATCGTCTACGTGGACGATCTCCTTTACATTGGGTCAACCGACGGCATCGCCACGTGGTTCGAAGGGGAGCTTCAGAAAGACCTCACGCTCACGGTCTCTTCTACGGTTACGCAGTACCTCGGGCTCAACATCCGCGAGGAAGAAAACGCAATCTATCTAAGCGCCGAGAAGTACGCCGACACCATCGCGAAACGCTTCGGCCTCACACCAATCGCCATCTCCACGCCTTACAGCTACACGTCAGGAACCGAAAAGGGACGATCTACTCTACTCAAGCCCGCCGGCATACGCGACTATCAGAAGAAGCTCGGATGTCTTCTCTTCGCAGCAGTCACATGCCGTCCCGACTTATCCTACTCTGCGAGCCAGCTCGCCACCTATCTCAAGAAGCCTGAAGCAGAGCATCTGGCGGAACTCGATCGCGCTCTCCACTATTTCGTCAGCACCGCGACGATCGGATTAACCTATCACAAAAACTCAACTACACCGACCAAGCTAATCGGCTACGTCGACGCCGATCATGCCGGCGACACCGATAACAGACGCTCACGCACCGGCTATGTCTACCGCCTCGAACCTATCGGTCCTATCTCCTGGCAGTCGAGTAAGCAGGAGTTAATCGCACTGTCTTCAGCAGAAGCGGAATATATTGCACTCTGCTCAGCCACCAAGGAGGGACTTTACCTTCGCGAACTGCTGGAAGAAGCGAAGCTAGCCGAGTTACCCAGCTTCACCGTGTTCTGCGACAACCAGTCAGCAATTCGCATCGCCAACAAGAACGGCTTCGCAAACAGGACGAAACACATCGCCTTGCGCTATTTCTTCGTGAAGGACGAGATCGAAAAGGGGAAACTCGATCTGTCATACTGTCCAACATCTGAGATGGCAGCCGATTACTTGACCAAGAAACTCGGAAAGCAGAAGTTCGAATACTGCATGATGCTGACTGGACAAGGCCACGTCACCTGCGACGACACTCCAGAAGCGAAGGGGAGTGTTGGAAACAATAAGTCTTAGTGCGCTTCTGTCGTGTCGAAACCCAAGACACTAGCGAAGCAGTTCGAATTGAAGCATCGAGTCAAACCTCGGAGGTTAGGGTAACCGCCTGGAGGTTACGAGAAAGTCAAAGGTCAGCGACCTTTGACTCGACAATTACAGCGCGACAGTTAAGGACACACAACTGACTCGTTACAGAGAAGTTGCCCGAGTCGCACTGTATCGAATCGCAACAGCAATACAGTTATCTATCTATTCGTATTCCCTGTACCCTTATATAAAACCTTGTATTTGCTGGTTTGATTTAATCTACTTTGCTCTCACACACTAGTGCAAGGTCGGTTCACAAGATTCATTAAAACGCTTCCGCTATTACAAGTTTCCTACCCAGAGTTATCCTCTGCAAAGATCCTTAAGGGCCTTCTCAGCCCAACACATGCAAATCTCGAGCAGGAAAAGCAGCAAATTGCGAGCAGCAAAGCAATTTTGTACAGTACAGTACCAGCGAATATCGAGCAGAAATAGCAGATCGTGAGCAGCAACAAAAGTACAATCGATGCCTGTTTTGAGCCCCTCCCGGTTGCCTTGTGAAGGGGGCATAAAAGCTGTAACGAGCAATTCGCATAAGTTTCGTCAATTCGCAGCTAGCTTAAAAGGGTTCGCAGGTGCTTATAAACAATATCTGTTACCTTATTTGACTTCAGGATCTTCTGCTTGACCACGGTCTGTTCGTTACTATTGGTTGATAACCACGCGACGCGCTTATAACGTGGGAGCAACAGGCTGGGGAAACAACCTTGGGTGAAGCGTTTCCATCCGGCGCAAGGCAAATCCGCATGGACTGGTTGGGCATCAATTGTAACAAGCAAAGATCGAGCTGGAGAAGCAGCAATCATGCCAGCGTGGAAACTTCGCATTGCGACGTGCGTCGTTTTAGTCCATCCCTTAGTCTTGTTATAGTCTGATTTTGCATAAAGGACTCTACACCTTCAGAGTGCTCATTGTGTGGATCCTGAAAAATCAGACTAGGCATTCTGTGAGAAATAGGCCCTCCGACAAAAAAAAAATAGCCCCAAACCCTCAGACTGGTTTTTTTTGAAACGTCAGACCTGCACTGTACCTTCTGGTTGGTTGGTGGGTGTACATAATTTATCTGATTGGTGTGCTTGGTGGGTGTACCTTCGGTGCATTTCTCTGGATTGCTGGATGCTGCCTCGCTATGGAATGCCCTGTTCATTAAGGTTGATGAGCCTGTAAAGAACATGTCTTCCTTCCCATGTTCCAACAGTACTGGTACTAGTATGCAGCTCTGCCTTTTTGGAAAGGTTGAATTCCAAAACCGTAACGTAACAGGTTAACAGTTTCGGTGAGTTTACATATTGCTAGGCTAATCAAGCGGATAGAACGAACGAGGGATTTATACAGGAAAAGCGCTTGATATGGTAGACGGTCGCTGCAATAAAATACACCTTAACACAACCCTAGCATACTATTCGCAGCAACGCTTCTAAAAGCATTGGAAAATAATGAAACCTATGGCAGCACTAGCCACCACCTGAGCCATCACCTTTTATTCAGACTCATGTGGGCCAAAGGTCTGGAGTAAGACTGGGCAGGGCACAGAACAGACACCCCTCTCGGTAGGCTTGGATTGCAAGAATACTACCATGCTTTGCATGCAGTCTCCCACTTATGACAGACCAGAGCCTCATCAATTGCACCCCCCATCATCTCCTCATAAAGTGTCTCTGCACCTGCTCCTCTCCCTGCTCCACCACCCCCCAGCTACGAATGCACATACGTCTCATTGAATCATACGCTGTAAGCCCATGTGCGTGAAGCCTTTCCGCCCTGGCTGCTCGGCCCCTGATCCCACTGTTCTGCACCGCAATGCACCCAAGCTTCTCGCAGGTCCGGCCCAAGCCTCCCAGGCTCGGAGGAGTATCCCAGACGCCCTTGATGCTGCCAATAGGGAAGAGGCTTCTCTCTAGGAAAACCACCTTAAAGCCATTGTTCCACTGGCATAAGCCTTTGCCAGCCTGATCCAAGACAGAAGAAGGTAGGAGACAGCGACAGGGGGGAAGTGGATGAGTGTGCGTGGATGGGATGGGAGCGAAGGTCGAAAAGCAGGTCAAGAGAGAACAAGCAACAGAGGCCAACATACTGTAGAAATAGCAGCTTAACTCAGGTCTTACCTTGAGTCTGCCGCCCTCGCCACACAGCACATCGTGAAACGCCCTGTATTCCTCCACTTCCTCCACTTCCTCCTCGCCCTCCGCCGCACTCCCACCCGCACTCCCTCCCTCCTCCCCTGCCTCCGCTCGCACAGCAGCCGTATAAGCCACCACCGAAGCCAACGCCTTGAGAGACAGGTGGGAAGGCCGGGCAAACATGACCCCCGCGCCGATGGTCCGAGCAGAGTTGGGTGCTTGATGTATGTCGGATGACATGCTTTGCACGGCTAGAGTGTTGGAGTCTAGGGAGAGGAGGTGGGGGAGGGGGTTGGAGAACCAGATTGTGTGGACGTCAGCCCACAGGACGGAATAGCCCAGGCGGAGAATCTGCATCATCAGGACTGGGGTGACTGCAGCCAATCGGGAAGCAGATGACAGGTCGTTCAATGATGCAGCGTTCGCGGACTGATTTGAAATTGATGCCTGGTCCATGAACACGGGGATGCCTTGAAGAAAGGCGTATGCGTACATGCGGGCATCCAAAGCGGCCAGAATGTAGTTGCCCAACCCAACGTTGCGCAATCTGCAAATACTGTTCATAGCAGCCTCCCTGTCTTCAAACGAAGCTGCTAATAAGATAACTGTTTGCTTCTCGCCCGCAACGATCGGCAGCAGCTGCTCCAGCGAATGCGGCAGGCCCTCAGTACCCCTCCAGAACGCCACGTGAGCAGTTGTACGCGCTTCAGCTTGCTTCTTCTCCAACGATAAGGAGTTCTTTCCCTTTGTTGACTGAACAGTGCTGTTCTTTGCAGAAAGTGTAGCTTTGGCGGCAGCTGCAGTCAGGGAATCATCTTTCGCTACGCCTGGCTCAGCTTGAGTTGAAGATGGCAAGCGAAGCCCACCCATGTCTTCTAGGCCCAGAGCGAAATCATCTTCCAACGAGGATAGAACGGAATCCGCGCCGTGAGGTGCTGACCGCAAGTCCCGGAGAAGATTTGCGTCTATATTCTGCTCCATCCCTTTTCCGCCGCACGATAACCAGTTCGCATCGTACGGTCTCGTGTCGCCCGCAGACCTGCCCGCGAATGGTGTATGTTCGCACGAGCAGTTACCAGGTCGGCGACGTCGCATAAGACACATGGATTCACCTGGAACAAGACGAGCGGGAATATAAATCAGATTAGATATCGGGCGAGCAACGGCACACCGCTGGCCACCGTTGGCCAGGAGAACGACGCAGTACGATCAACGCGACAGTCGCACGTCTTGATGATTCAACAACAAAATCAAAAGCATACCTCCGGGCACGAAGCAGGGAGCGAGTCGCCACGGCGCGTGGCCCAAAGAACCGTCTTCGACGCTCAAACCTCCAGCGAGCCGCTGAATTTGCGCCATGTGCGCATTCGCGTACACCTCCCACCGCTTCGCGTTTTTTCCGGGCAGCGGCTGCCACAGAGATCCCTGCCCGAACGAGAACGACTCGCCGGATAGTAACCCTCCGCTGCTTTGGTGCGATCTCCCCCCGTGCGCGCTCTCCGCCCCACCTTGAAGCCTCCGCCTTTGCGGAACCTGCCGCGGCGAAATCGAGCGCGCGAGTCGCGAAACGAATCCGGCCTTCTTCCAGCCGCCAGTTCCGGCGCTATTCTCGGCGACGTTACCGCCGGTTTCGCCGCGACGTTTCTCGACGGCGAGTTGCGCCTCCCGCTGCGCGTCCAACGCGGAGAATACGCGCACCGCCGTAACCGCATCTGTTGCATCCACCGCGTGTCGCGACTCCGGGCCGTCTCGCGACGCCGCCGCCGGCACGCCAGCCTCGTCAGCCGCCTCCTGCTTCGTCGCAGCGCGTCCAACTTGCGCCGTGACGTTATCGTCATCGTTACCGTTAGTACCGTTGGCGGCGGTGACGGAGAGGGAGCCAGCGGCGCGCGCTACGAGCCAGCGGAGGTAGCTTCCGCGACCAAGGAAGAAGGGCGGGATGGCGACGCTGGGATGGAGAAGAGGCGCCCCGGGACGGTTCCACATGAGGACGGTCGCACCTGCCGCCACGTTCAGCTGCCCGCGCTGTCGGACGTAGTCTCGTATCTCCTGCTCGTTGACCTCGTTGACCCCGTTGACCTCGGCAGAGTCCGCCTGATCCGGGCTGTCCCAAAGCCGCGCAGATCGGCGGCGCCGGGTGGAGAAAGAGCCGCTTGACGGGGCGGGCGCAGCAACGTGGGTGGGGAACCTGTCGCGAGATTTGGCTGAGGAGGCTTTTGCGGAGGACGAAGGGTGAATGTGCGGAGGGAGTTGGTCGAGCGAGAACCGGAAGGTGTGAACATCCCAGGGAGCAGAGAGCATGACGAAGGAGGAAAATCGCGACGCGAGTCGGCGCGCCGCGAATAAGACGTCGTTAAAAAGGAGCACATCCGGATCCACTAGCATGACTAAGTCACAGTGGGGCGACGCGGAGGCGGTCGATGCTGCGCCGAAGGCTTGGATGCGCGCAAGGACGGAATTCAACAACGGCGTGCCTTCGAGATTCGTGTCCACGTCAGCATCAACGCTCACGTGGCTCGGAAACTCCGCCGCCACCGACGTCAGCGAGGGGTGCGTGCCGAGCAGGACGACGCGCGGGGTGGGATCAAGTCGCAGCCACGACATGATCGCGCGGCGGTGCGAGTAGGAGGAGACGTTGTAGGCCGTGGGCGCTGAGAAGATCGTCACGCGCGGACACTTCGATTCGCGCGCGGAAGAAGGGCCGCGGGCGGAAGCAGCTGTTCTCAAGTTCAAAGTATTTGACGGTACAGACACTTCGCCCGGTTGCAGTAGAAGTCGTTGGACGGTATTCGTCGCACGCGTCGTCGCCGCCCCGTCGCAGGCGCCCCATGCTGATCGCGAGCAGTGCTGGCGCCCGGCGCGATGCCAGCCGACGAAAGACGTGAGCGAGCAGAGCGCGATGAGACAGACGACGACGCATTGTGCCCGGGCGATACGGGAGGAGGAGAGCGAGGAGCAGAAGGCCGAGCAGAGGAAGCACACTGCGGACTCGGTGAACGTGGGCTGGTCGGTCATGGCGGTAGTGTGAAGGCTCCTGAGGATTTTTTGACTCGATGACCGGTTACTACGGTACAATTGGTGCGCTGAAGAGATGCTTGAACCTTAGGTACCGAGAGGAACTTTTTACCTATCAATTCAGAATGAAGGGTGATTGAAATGTGGAAGAGCCTCAGACCTACTTAGACGCGGCGCTTCCTTGTTCTGCTGAGTGTGCCTGGAATGCTGTGACTTAGACTTTGCCATTGTGATCAACTCGTGTGAGTCTAATGACTAACACGCAGAATTTAGATCCTCCAGTTCAGTACAGCTAATGCCCGACCAGTGCACGCGAGTTTGCGATGCACCGGATGGAAACGCTGCACCCGAGCTCACGCACCCTGCTTGCTGCTCCCACAGTACAAGCACCTGGATGGCTGGTTACAGTACACGCGCTGCGGCCACCAACGCACGTGCAGTCCTGAACAAGGCAGGCCGACCCTGGTTTGCCTTGTTTCTAGGCCAGAAGTCAGGCAGGCGAAATGTAAGGACGAAACGTGAGTGGCTTCGTGAACGCATTTGCCCGACTGCCACGCCACCTAAGCGAGGTTCATCGTGCGTGTAAGAGACATTTGGGCAGATTCACACTGCCACGTGTAGTCTGCACCTCTGGGGTACAAGCGCATTATCACCCAGGCATTGTTCGCTGACCCCACGTCAGACATTCCATCGTGTGGTTACCAAGCCACACAAGCGGAGATTCCAGACAGATGCATGGAACTATCAACGGCCACACGACTGGGACAAGCCACACAGAACAGGCCCCACGAGTGACACAGCACGCCCGCCATCCGAAGTTAAAATCAGACCAACGAATTCACAAGAGCATCGTTCTCACGCACCCCTGCCTCTCACAATGCCCCGTTTCCATCGTCGTGACTGGCACGATTTGCGGTAAATTAGTCAGACACAACCACATCGTGATTCCTGATTCCCCTAGGCGAAGCATCGGTCAGACCCTCTGTCATCCTCACGGCTCTAATGAGTTCACAGAGTGTTGGTTCATAGCTACTAAAAGTATCCACGCAACTCGAAGATTCGACCTCTCTCAATCAAGTTCCTTCACTTTTTTTTTTTGCCATTTTGCAAATGGTTAACCCGAAGCTTCCGCCGCGTTGGGTCGACAAATTAGACGCGCCATTGCAACTGAAAGAGCTGAGCCGCGATGTCGAGCCGCTGTCACCAACGGCTCGTTCTTTTCTTTCTGACGAGTTCTACGCGACAGTCCCATCGGCGCGTCCCATTTTCAGAACGCTACAAAGATATAGCTCGACCCGTCGATTCCCTCGTCTGTTCCAAACGGGAAACGCGCGATGCCATTTTTCGCATTCCAAATCATCACTTTTCACCAAGCCATTTCTTCGCGCGCTACTGTGTTTTCCTAATGTGATCCTCGTGTCACAGGAGCACCGTGGCCGTTGTAAGGGCGGCGAGCAGGTGTGGGTACGGACGACCGTCGATATGGCCTACCACGTCGTGGAAGGCACATAGCCCGATGGATGTGACAATAACGAAGTCGGTGCGGAACCCTCAATCACAAAAACAGACGAATGCGACAGTAAGCGTCGAAACAGCGCGTGAGGAAGAAGCTGCTTCAAGACCGGCGGAATCGAAAGGAGGTGCAACGCCAGTGGCAGGAGCTCTCAGCTCGAGTGGGGGATTCGACGTGTTATGAGGCGGGGAGCATGGAGTGGCACACCATGCAAGGCGTCGTAGGCAATTTTTTGAGCACAAGTGTTCACTCTTGTGCCCATTTGTGCGTTTTTCGATGTTTGTGTGGAATGGAGCTGGGGGCCATGTGGGAGAAGCTGATTGGTTGTGATTGGTGTTTTGGTTGTTTTGAACTAAGAGGAACATTTGATGAGGCTACTAGTTTCGTTGTTCTTACATTTGTTGAGTAACCTGTAACACACATGTGGGACAAGTAGGGCCAACCATAACTGTTGCGAATCGGACAAATCGGATGGTTATCATGTTCAGTTTTGAAGCACGCATAAAGCCTAACGAAACGTACGAACCCCACGCAAAATGCAGGTTTAGCTTACAGACCCCCTTCACAAGGCAACCGGGAGGGGCTCTAACGGGCATTAGCTGTACGAGAGAAAGACATGCAACTACTTGTTACGCCCACTTGTTCAGAATATTGACGTGAACAAGGTCTCTTGCTGCTACAGTCGACGCTCAGCCTATCACAAAACATTTGCTCCTCACGATTAGAAATTTAGTCACTCGCGAATGTTTCGCCCGTGAGTGACTAAATTGACCATTGTGCCGATTTTGGGGTACAGTCACCAAGTTGAGGAAGAAAAACATCTACAGTTGATAAACAACAACGGCTACCCGTCATCAGAGAAGTTAAACTGGTTACAAAATTAAAACCCTTGACTCAATTCACATTGCAATTTCATATTACAGTCACATTTTTGCCCGTGGCGACAAGGGCGAACGTGGCGAACTGTCCTAAACTCGTTTCACGCACATGCTGCCCGCCTATCTGGTGTTCTTGAAATGGGCACCGACTGTAGTAGTCAATTGATCGTACAGGAAGGGGAGGTTAGTCAACCGGAGGAGCTAAACTGACAGTTGACTTGACTAAGTGAAGAGATGAGTTCGCTTGCTGGCGGCACATGTGCTGCTCTTATTGCCCAATGACGAGAAACGTCACACGAGATCTGCGAATGGGGTGACCATAAGTGTACAGCTGGAGGACAGCGACCGTGGATGACCATAAGCGAATTCTTCAGTCTTCAGTCGTTCTGCGGGGGCAATGGGTCATGGGTTTCCAGTTTCACATGCAATCGAACGGAGGGAATGGATTGTGGAATTGAAACTGAAGGAGAGGGGAGGCGGTTTGTCCGACACCAGCCTACAGCTCCATGCCATCCCTACCAGCCACCCGTAACCTGTCGGCTGTTCCCTAATCGCTGGTGTGGTCAGATGGGATTGGATGGAGGAAGCGCGCTGGTTGCGGATTAGTCAGATCAAAAAAAAATCAGACCAGGCGCTTCGGGATGGGACGCCACACTCAACTGGCCAGGTGTGTTCTTGATTGGGCATCGATCGGACAACCTTTTGACCAGGGCGGCTCCCACATGTGCGTTACTATTGTTTAGGGAAATTTTACAGGCAGTCAAAACTATGCCCGTTCTATCAAGATTAGTCACACGGGAATCACAGTCACAGTACAGTAGATTGCTATCGCGGGTGATCACACGGCTATCACGGATGGTCACACCTCGCCCCGAAAAGCTATCACGTTTAGTCGCTCGTTGAATCGACCATTGTAAGTTGAAACTACCCAAGTCAATGTAGGGATGCCAGGACAGTCATCTCGCGTGCGCCGTTTTGTCCGTAGTGTTACGAAATATTTTCGCGCACCCTCTCGGTAACTCGGAACAAACAATAGAGATTTCCTGTTACTATTGGATTGTCCACTGTTTGATGGATGCATAATGACCCTAAAATATAACTTTAGATGAGTGAAAGTCGATGGGTATTTTTTTCTCCAAAGACTAAAAAACTAAAACCCATTTGGGTGGGATTTAATTCGGGATGCATCAACCCTGAACACCTTGTCGCATGATGTTTAGGGTTGATGCATCCCAATGGACGTGCCATCCTTTAGGGGTTTATTAATTTTCTTCAGTTTGCTAAATGTTGAGCTATAATTTTGCGCAACGTAACAAGAAAAAATATTGGGAATCCCCAAAATTTCTACAGTTTCATTTGTGGTTTCAAATTAATTATAATCGTTTTTTTGAGTGACCCAACGTGATAGCTATCTGAGGCGAGCTCTGATAATCCGTGATAGCGGGTGTGATCACCCGCGATAGCTGTCTACTTTAGTGTAACTGTTTGTGATTCCACTATGACCAGTTGTAATAAAATAGGCATAATTGTGACTGCTTATATAATTTCGATATTGTTTAACCTCACCCAACCGTTTAAAATTTTTAAACATCGCTGTATACAGCTGTTATGATTTAAATGCTTTTCCTAAGATAGCCCTTTTTTTCCATTGAGTAGATTTTTCATATATATTCTAGGTATAGCCCCTCCTCTACAGTCTTCTTTTTGGCGGGAAATTTTGCATCCTGATTGGGTTCATGCACGAATCAGTTCTGCAGCCAATCAGAGGTCCCAAAATCGAACCACCCCAACATTCACGGATAATGTAAGGGAAGAAATATTAGTTTCTATATTTACATTAAGAGTTGTTATTGTTAGTTTCTCTTGAGCATGATTGCTTTTGAGTCCCGTCGCGTGGTTCCGTGCACGCCCGATAATGACTGGGAAAAAAAATCACTTCATTGAGGCCTTAAACATAATTAAATTCGTTTATTTCTGCCTGCTTATTATGCGATATTGAACAACCTGGAGAACAAGGCGACAAGAAGTTGAAGCAAGTGTGTTACGAATAGAAAGTATGTGACAAAAAACAACAAATAATAGCAAAGAAAAACCGCTGTCCGTGCAGTTTTACTGGAATGGGACTTCCGGGTCCCGTTTGCCCGAGGTTTGTGAGCTTTTCCACAAAGGCCTGCAGCGAGTGTGTTTCTTTGGTGGAC